GCCGCAGCCCGTGCCCCGCTTGCAGGAGGCACCCGAAGGAGCCGGGACACCGCCGCCCTGCTGCTTTTCAAGTCCTTCTCCTTGGCCCTGGGGCCGTTTCGTAACCCCACATGGCCGGGGGGGTGCTGGGGCTGCCGCTGCCCCCGGCTGGCTCAGGATCTGCTGCAGGCTCCGCTGGAGCACAGCCCCGGCTCCCTGCGCCCAGGCACTGCCCTGCAACTCCGGGAAGCAGGGGGAGATGCTGATCCCTGCCACATCCACTTATTTCCCTTTTTTTTTTTTTTTTTTTTGCTGTTTTCCTGCAGTCCCGAATGTGCCCGTGCAGGACTTGCACTCCTGGGGGCCGGAGCAAAGCAGGGGGCTGGGGGGAGGCAGGGAAAGGGCTGGAGCCCGGAGGGTTTCCCCTCGCAAACCCCAGCCTGTCTGACATCCCACTTTACTCAGGGCAGCGTGCCCAGCCCTTGATTAGCAGGAAAATATCAATTACTACCGACTCTCATTCCTGCTGCACACCGAGGACGTGCCCCTGGGGATGACTCGAGAAAAACTCTGAATCTTCGCAAAGTCTTAATTAACTCCCTCATCTCCAGCAGCACGCTGCTGCAGCCGGGGTCCATGCTGCTGGAGACGAGTTTCCAGGCAGAAGAGCTGCCCGGGCAGGTCACCATCCAGCCCCTCGTTCTCTGCCTTTTCCCTGGGTGTTTTGCTGCCGCTGCTGCCTGGGTTGCTTGTCATGCAGAAACAAGAAAGCTCCGGGGCCATGAGGCAGCAAATACCTCAAGAGATCCGGTTCCTGCCCGAGGAATCACATTGCAGATGAGCTGAGAAAGCCCCGGAGAGCTCGCTCTGGAAGCAAAGGTTAAATTGATGCTGGTCGGGGGCTAAAAGCAGGTCTGAGGGGGGAGAGAAGCAAGGTGGAAATGGAAGCAGGGACGGCAGAGGTTTGTTCTGGGCTGTTCCAGAAAACTTTCGCTTGGCACGGGATGACAGGCTCTGCTTTCAGGTGATGTGACCCGTTGCCAAATCGTTCTTCCTTCCGGAGGATGCTCAGATCCACTCAGCTGGAACAAGCCACGGGGGAGGAGAGCGATGTCCCCGGGCTGGGGCTGAGCCACGGTGCTGGGGGGGGATCAAACAGGGATCCCCTGGGGGGGTTTTGGGTTGGTGCCCAGCCCTAGGGCTGCTGTCTCAGCACTGCAATGCAGCCCCTGCTGGGGCTGAGCCTGGGGAGGGTCCTGGGCTCAACGTGAGGGGCTCAGACACCCACCTGCCTGCAGCGGGGTGGCTCCATTTCCTATATAGAGCAGGTAAAAACAAGTGCCAGGTTCTGCTGACCCAGGAGCAAACCCGTGGGGCTGGGCTCCAGCAGCTCAGGGAGCCCACGCACAGAGGAGTGCCTCTCCCTTCCCTGCCCTCCCTTACCAGGACTGGTTTTTGGTTTTTTGTTTTTTTTTTTTTTTCCTTGCTGGGCTCCCAGGCGCTGCAATTTTAGCTCAGGTCCAGCTGCCACATGCTAAAGCTTAAAAAAACAAACCAAAAAAGTAACCTCAGCCCACGTGCGCCATCCCAGCTCTCCTCCTGCTCGGCTGGCACTGGAAATGCACCTCCCTAAGCTGCCTTGACAGCCGTGCAAAACCTCTCTTCTCCAGGCTCTCTAGCCCCAAATCTCTGCTCACGCGCTGCCAGGAGCGAGATCCCAGCACGTTTCCTGCTTGGGTTCACCCCCAGCACCCATCGATGGCTCTGCCTCCTCTCTGCCCGGAGCTGGCAGTGGTTTTGAAGCGAGGGCACTTCTCTAGGTGCGGAGCAGCCCCAAGCGAGGAGCTGTTGCCCTGTCCCTAGCCCAAAGCTGCAGGCAGGATTTTTTGGGGTCGGGCAGCTCCGCCTGGCTCCCTGCTGGGTTGGTGGCCGGGGGCTGAAGCTGCCTCTGCCCACGCAGGGCACGGGGACGGCTTCCCCAGCCTGCACTCACGGTGCCCTCCTCTGGGTTGTGGGCCCTGGCACGTTGTGCCGAGTGCTTTTTATTTCCCATTTTCCAGGCAAAAGCGTTCCCACGGGAAAACAGCGGGGCTGAGGGCGTGCTGGGGCGGGCAGGCTGCGGGAGAGGGGGGCTGGAGGGAGGCAGGGAGGATTTGGAGCTTCCCAGGGGGCAGCCTTGGTGTTATCACAGCTCAGGGATGCCCGAGTTGAGCTCTCGATGGCAAAGGGGATTCCTCCGTGCTGTACCCCACAAAGCCCCGAGCTTTTCCCAAAGCCACCAGCAGCACGTCCCCGTCCCCTGCTGCCGCTCCTGCGCCTGCTCAGCGGTGCTGAGCCGTTGCCTCTCCCCGGCAGATCCAGATTTCTACCATGATTAAGTCATGAAGCAGCTCCCGAGTCGTCTCTGCTAGAAATCCCGGTTAAATTATTGATGGGGAGCCTGCCTTTTGTACAAGTTCCCTAAATCCCAGGCCCTGGAGGCTTCCTGGAGCTCAGCCCAGCTCCCCCCCGCCACCCCTCCATAATTAATGCCATCCCCTGCATTAACCCTGCCCAGAGCTTTGCTGCACCTTGGGGCACCGGTGTTTTACTGGAAATAGTGGGTGGCCCTAAAATAGCACCGGGTGCTGGCATCCTACAGCAACAACCCCTCCTGGTGTCTTCCCTCTGTGGCTGCTGCGGGGATGGTTTCTTCTGAGGGAAAACGTGGATTCGCTGCGTTTTCTGTGGGATCTGTGGGTGCCAGGAGCCACGGGGCTGGGCGGTGTGGGAGGGGGGATCCCCCAGGGCACGAAATCTGCTGGGGCAGGGGCGAGGTGCGGAGCCCAGGACGGAGCAGGGCTGCAGGAGCTGCAGGGTCTGAACCCCACGGGGAAACTGGGGGGCAGCAAAATGATGTGGGCACGGGCAGAGGTGGCAGCACAGGTCCCATGCTCGGCAGAGCTGCGTCTATAGGAACGCCCACGTCCTGAAGGACGGGGCCAGAAGCACTTCTGGGCGAGCCGTCTGCTGGCCGAGTGTTTATTCCTCCTCGTGGCGCTGGGACGGGGCTCCAAGGGCCTCGGTTTCCTGGCGGGACGGAAATGTTTGCACCCGGGGGCTTTGCAAACAAATCCCAGAGCTGGCAGGGAGGGGAGGGAGAGCCTCGTGGAGGAACCAGGGCAGGCACCAAGCAGAAGGGAAAGGGCTGGGAGGAGGACGGGCTCCTTTGGGACACGGGGCCACGGACCCGCAGCCCCTTGGTCTCTTCTGCTGGGGTCCAGGCAAGCTGTGCCCCTTGCAGGAGGGCTCTGGGGCTCCTCAGGAGGGGACGTGGAGGCACAAACCGAGGCTGCCTCTCCCCCAAAGCTCAGCCTGGGGCAGGGCCGTGGGTTAGGGATGCTCCAAGGGGTGGGAATCCCTCCCCAGGCAGGCAGCAGGACCAAAGGTGACGGCGAAGGACAGGGCACCACGGCTCGAGCCATCTGGCCGTGGCACCCGGCAGCCTGTGGGGACAACCTGCTGCCCAGCGGGGCTGCTCACGGGGCCGGGCTGCCCCCCTGCTCCTGCTGCTGCCACCCCCGAGACCCCTTCCCTTCTCCTCGTTCCCCCAAAACGAGCACCCTGGGGGCACGCTGGGGCACCGCCAGCCGCCGTGCGCTGATGTTCCTTGGCGCGCCCCTTGCAGACCATCCTGGTTGGAGACAGCGGCGTGGGGAAGACGTCTCTGCTGGTCCAGTTTGACCAGGGCAAGTTCATCCCAGGCTCCTTCTCCGCCACCGTGGGCATTGGCTTTACGGTAAGAGCCCGGTCCTCGGGGCTGGGGCTGGGGGAACCGGGCAGAGGGCTGGGGGGATTCGGAGCCGCGTTTGGGGCTGGAGGAGGCGCCGTGCAGTGACTCCATGGCGAGGCCGTGCCCACGCACAGCCCCTGCATCACCCCTGGGGAGTCTCCTTCAGCAGCCAGCGCGGGTCCTGCCCGTACAAAACTCAAGCAGATGGTGGCAGAGCTGCCAAAAGCCCCAGGCTGCCATCCAGAGCTATTTGTAGAGCCGCCACGGGGCTGGAAGCGGCTCCGGAGCGTGTCCCCATTGCCGGGGAGCCCGGATCGGAGACCCAGGTCTGGGACCCCACACACAGCAAGGCCAGCCCCACACAGCGGGTTCGCTCCCTGGTTCAGGCCAAGGAAGCAGGGAAACGTGGTGCTGTGCCCCTGGGGGGGCTGAGGAGGCTCAGCCGCCCTCCTCAGCCTCCCCAGCTCCTGGATATTTTATTTTCCCCACTCCAAGAGGCAGCGCAGGCAGGCGATGCTGTCCCCTTCCCTGTCCCCATCCGCTCACAGCTCGGAGCAAGCAGCAGCCAGCCCGGTGAGCCCCCACGGGGATGGATCCCCCCCATCCTCCCTCCCAGCACCCCGCAGCGGGGCTCGGCCTCATCCAGCAGCTCCACGAGCCCCGGTCCTCAGCTCCGGGCACTGTGCTGGCCACAGAGCCTGCAGGAACCCCAAATGCCCTGGCTGGGACTGGAAATCCCGCTGCCATTTCCACGTCCCCAGGGGCAGCGAGGGGGTGGCTGCAGCACGGAGCGGGTGGCGGTGCTGGAGCAGGGGGCAGGGATCAGGATCTGTGTCCCGTGAGGATCCGCTGGGGTCCTGGGGGAAATAAATCAGGGGCTGAAGGCACCAGGGGGAGATGCCCGTGGTCCCTGTGGGGCCGAAGCCCCCAGCAGCCCTAAAGGTGTGGGTCTGGACACGGCTTCGTGGAGAGGTTTTGGGGTGATGCAACCCCCCCGGCTCTCCCCGCGGGACCTCTCCTGCGTTCCCACACCTGGGCTTATCCCAAATGAGTCGGGAGACGCACAAAGCCCCAAAGGTGGATGGAGGGGGCTGGGGGCTGGGCGAGGGTCCCGGCGGGGGGAGCGGGAGCCCCAGCACCCAGCAGGGGGGGGCAGAGGGAGCCCCAGCACCCCTCCGGCTGAGCACGGCAGCGCCTGGCCGCAGCTTCCTGCTAACGGCTCCTGGGGGGGGGTGCTGGGGGTGTAACTGGTGTAACTGGGGTGTAACTGGTGTCACTGGGGTGAGCCCGTCCCCCTGCAAGCAGCCGCCCCTCGGTGATGCTGCAGCGCCGGGGGTCTTCATCCTTGCAGCCCAAGGGGTTTTGGGGGGGCTGCTAAGTGTGGGGGTGGCCCCATCATTGTGTCCCCCCCCCGTGTGTGTGTGCACCCGCAGGGAGGTGGCAGGGCTTGGTGCTGCTCGGGGGGGGGGCAAGGGCAGAGTTCCTGGAGGAGGAGGAGGAGGAGGAAGAGGAAGGCGGGCCGGGACGCACGGCTCCTCTCGGACGCACCATGAGCAGGGTGGGGGGCAGCGGGGCCCCCCCGGCACCGCTGCAAGACTACGAGGTGGCCGGCAAGGTGCGGGGTGGTTTGGGGGGGGGGACCAGGGGATGGAGGCTGGGGCTCCGTGGAGGCTGGGGCTTGGCGGAGGCTGCTCTGGGTGCCGGCTGCCTCCTGCTGCAGCGGGAGCGAGCGGGGACGGGAAGGGGCAGAGGGTGGCGGGGGGAACAGGGGGTGATAAGGGGTGACAAGGGGTGACAGAGGGGGGGGGGGGCTCGCTGTGTGGGTGCCAGCCCCTGCAGTGTGCTCGTTGCCTTCTTTAAGCTCGGGATCCCTCCTGGCACGATCCCATTGCCGGGCAGGGAAAGGGCAGCGTGGGAGGGGATGGGGCAGCAGCGGGTACGCGCCGTGCCGGCGGGCAGCGGGGCAGCGCCTGGGCTGGGGCCTGTTTGCTTTGCAGGAGGGGACGAGAGCCCTGTTTGCTTTGCTGTCTGCAGCCGGCCGGGCCCTGGGAGGCAGCGGCAGGGTTTGCCCCAGCCGTGCACCAGCCCCAGTGAGGGGCACACCCAGGGGGGGCACCGGGGCTGCTCCTGTGGCCGGTTCCCCAGGACGCGATGCTCCGGGGTGGCCGGGGTGGCCTTTGGTGCTGAGTTCCCAGCACCTCCCTTCCTTCAGGGGGACGGCAGAGCTGCACCACTGGTCCCCCCCCCGGCTCTCACAGGGCTCCCCACACAAGCCCTGGGGACAGGAGGGGGACAGGAGGGGACAGCGGGGAGCCCGGTGCCGCTGGGGACGCCCCCGCCGACACCTCCCCTGCGCCCACCTTGCAGGTGATGTTACTCGGAGACTCGGGCGTGGGGAAAACCTGCTTCCTGCTGCAGTTCAGAGACGGGGCCTTTCTCTCCGGGACGTTCATAGCCACCGTGGGCATAGATTTCCGGGTGAGACCACCGTGGCCGCCCGTCCCCTGGGCAGCGAGGGCGGCCCTGGCTCCCCCGGGGCCCTGGGGACAGGCTGGGGGGATGGACGGACAGATGGACGGATGGATAGGGGCTTCGGGGCTTTTAGGGCCTCCGAACCCCAAACTGTCTCCCAGCAGCACCAAATGTGTTTGTTGGTGGCTGCTGAAGCTCCTGCACCTCTCCGCGGCGGGGCTGCACCAGCGGCTGCGGGCGGAAGAGCGAGCGGAGCGCGGGCACTTCCCCTTCAATTAGCGAAACTGAACTTCGTTTGCGCTCATTTTACACCTAAAATCCGTCCTGCGGGGTGCTTGGGAGCTTCACCCGGCCGGGGCTGACACTTCGGGGGGCGAGCGATGCTCCCCATGGGGTTACCCCGCGCAGCCCCCGTGCCACCCGGCCCCGCTGCCCTCCCCTCCGGCCGCTTTCTGCAACCAAACCACGGCCGGGCCCCCACCTCTGTGGGGAGGCAGCGTTCAAGCAGCTCGCCTGCTGCCAGGAAGAGCCGCTTGCAGCACAAATTACGCCTTTCAGTGGGTTGGGTGCCGGGGGGGAGCCCTGGGCCGTGTTATCGTGGCGCTTCCTCTGTGCCCTGGGGGAAGAAACCCCCCCCCCTGTGCCCAGCGCTGCGTGGCCGAGGGGGTGCTGCCGGTTTGTGGGCACCCCCTCAGCCCCACGTTGGTGTCCCACCTGCTGCTGTGTGGCTTCCTGCCCCCCAGCAGCACGCTGATGGTGCTTTTTTCTCTTTCACTCATCCCACGTCGCGAGCTAACCCCCCCCACCCCCCCGGTTTTGTCCTCGCAGAAGCTGACTTTCTACCTCAAACAGTTCCAGGAAACCCAATTATTTATACCCGCCTTCCGTTTCCAGACCCACCCCCGAGCACGAGCCTGCAGAAGACTCTTGCAACACCCTCCGAGCAACCCACGCTTTGCTTTTTACTTTTTCTGGAGGGAAGTCCCCGGGCTCTGGGGTTCGGCTCAGCCACGGCTCGGTGCCGCGAGCCGCTCGCCTCCCCGCCACGGGGGCTGGGGCAGGAGCAGCCCCCAGCAGGACCCCCCCGAGATGCCCTCAGAGAGCTCCACGGGGACGGCGTTTGGCCGATCCCACAGCGTCTGCTGGCCCTGAAGGCTCTCCTTGTCTTTGCCAGGGCGCACGAGCGCGGAGCCAAATTCCTCGCGACGCCCAGCGAGGACACAGGGCGGCTTTATGCCGGGCAAGCACCAGGGGAGGCTGCTCGAGGACAGCCCCGCAGCCCCCCCCCGTGACCCTGTGCCCCCCCAGGAGCACGGGGGTTTGTAGCAAGGGGGCTCCATCCTGCAGCCCCAGCTCCAGCAGCGGGGCTCTGTGCTCACCGCCCCGTCCTCTCCTTCTCCCCCGCAGAACAAGGTGGTGGCCGTGGATGGCGTGAAGGTGAAGCTGCAGGTGAGGGTTGGTTTTTTGGTATTTTTGGGGGGAGCAATTCCCGGCCCTGCTGCCGCATGAAATGGGCTCGGCACCGTGGTCCCACAGGGCTGCAGGGGGGTCCCCAGCTGGCGGGGCGCTGCCTGCTCTCATTGGGATGATTTCTGGCAGATTTGGGACACGGCGGGGCAGGAGCGTTTCCGCAGCGTGACCCACGCCTACTACAGGGATGCCCAAGGTGGGTCGGGGGCCGGGGGGGTGGGCGAGCCCCCCGGGACCTCTCCCTGCAGCACCAACGCCCTCGGCCCCTTCCCTTCCAGCCTTGCTCCTGCTCTACGACATCACCAGCAAGATGTCCTTCGACAACATCCGCGTGAGTGCCCCCGCCCCGCGTTCGTCCCCAGGGATCGGGGACACCTGTGGGTTTTTTTTGGGATGGGGAGTGGGGATTTTAAGCCTGTTTTGCAACAAGCACCGCTTGTTTTGGGCAGACCCGGGCAGCTCGGAGCTCGTCCCCTGGGTGCGTTTTGTTTAGGGGCACGGCGAATGGGAAAGTTTGGGGTGGGGGCGAGTTACCTGTAGGGCTGAGGAGGAGAAGGGGTGTTCACAGAGCTCTCCACCTCATTCTGGAATGGTTCCCACTTGGGAAAATAATAATAATAATAAAATAAAATTAAAAAAGGTTTTCCCAGCCCTCCCGGGGGGCTGTGCAGGGTGAGGGGTGCTCCCCCCCGACGCAGCCCCGCTGTCCCCGCAGGCCTGGCTGACGGAGATCCACGAGTACGCACAGAAGGACGTGGTCATCATGCTGCTGGGCAATAAGGTGCGTGTAGGGCCCCCGTTCCCCTCACCCCGAGGCTGTCCCCGCCCTGGCAGTGCCTCCGAGGAGGGCTGGGGCTGGGGGGGTCCCTGCCCTCCTGGGGGATCCAGGCTGGAGGTGACCCCAGAGGGCTGGGGGGGCCGGGGAGCCGCGTCCCTGGCAGCCAGAGGAGGGCAGCACGAGGCTGAGGTTCCTGGCACGGGGTGATCCCAGTGTGGGTGCTCCCAGTGTGGGTGCTCAGCAGGTTCTCCTCTGGGCAATGGGCATTCCTGGCTCCCTGACCCCACAGATCCTGGGAGCCCCCCGTGCACCCACCTCCCTGCTGCTTTTGGGGTGCCCCCGGCTGGGTGACGCTCTCCTTTTTTCTGCAGGCTGACGTGAGCAGCGAGCGGGCCGTGAGGACAGAGGACGGAGCCTCGCTGGCCAGGGTGAGCCGTGCCCGAGTCTGCACCCCCTGCGACACCCCCCCAGCACCCCAGGCACGGGTGCTTCATTTCGGGACCCCGTGTGGCTGTGCCACCCACTCTGCACGGTGCCCAGACCTGCATGGCACAGGTGGCACAGCAGGGAGGGGACGTGACCCCGTTCCCAAACCCCACCCAGCCAAAGGGGGTGATTTTGGGGGGGCAGGAGAGGGTCTGGGACTGCCCCCTGATGGGGCCGTGCCGCCCTCGCAGGAGTACGGGGTGCCCTTCATGGAGACGAGCGCCAAGACGGGGATGAACGTGGAGCTGGCCTTCCTCGCCATCGCCAAGTGAGTGCACGGGGCTGGGAGGGGGGGAAGCAGGGGGTGTCCCCCGGGGATAACGGGGCCCTGCCACCCCCAGGGAGCTGAAGCAGCGAGCGCTGCAGCCGCCGGACGAGCCCCGCTTCCAGATCCACGACTACATCGAGGCGCAGCAGAAGAAATCCGGCTGCTGCGCCTTCGCCTGAGAGCGCCGGGCAGGGACCCGGGCGCAGGCAGGGCTGGGGCACAGCGGGGCCCAATCCTGCCCCCGGCCCCATACCCACGGCTGTGCCGAAGCAGCGGGTACAGGAGCAGGGACATTATTCCAGGCGTGGTGCTGAGCAGGGCCCAGATCCTGCCGCCCTGCGGGGTGGTGCCGGGGGCTCGCCGTGCGCCCCAACCACGGCGCGGTGCCCGCCAGCCCGAGGGACGCGGCGGTGCCACCGTCACCCCAGGACACGGCCCCAGCACCCGGCCTCTCCTCCCCTGCGGCCGCTCGTGCCCTCGCTGTGCTCCCATCCAGCTGCGAGGGCCGGATCCTGCCCCGCTTCCCCGCTGCTTCCCCCCGGGGAGCCGCCGGACCCATCCCGGTGCCGGTGCCCAGCCCTGGCCACGGCTCCTCGCCGGCACCTCCGGGGGTGCCCCCGCCTGCCCCCCGCCTGCCACAGCTGGAGCAAGAGATAAAGGAGCCCCCGGTGACTTCGAGCACACGCGGCAGTTTGGAAAACCTTCATTTCCCCCTGGTGCAGCTGTGGGGTTTGGAGACTTTTATTTTTCTTTATTTAAGGGAAAAGCTTTTTGCATTTCCGCCCCCCCCGGACCAAACCAGCTGCGGCCTCGCGCAGGCTGGGGACGGGGCTCAAGCGGCCCTTGGTGGTCCGGAGATCTTCTGCAGGGTCCCTGGACCCGTGGTGGGTCGGGGGCACTCGTGCGTGTCCCAAAATGAGCTCGGCGGGCTGCGGGGTGCGGGCAGCGAGGCTCGGGCACCGCGGGGCTGCGGCTCCAGTGCTCAGCATCACCCCCCCCCAGCACCCTGTGCCATGCAGGGCACCAGGACAGGAATATTTGGGACAGGGAATATTTGGGACGGGGAATATTTGGGACGGGGAATATTTGGGACGGGGAATATTTGGGGTGCTGCTGGAGGTGCCGGGGGCAGCTGCAGGGCACACGACCCCCATGCACAGGGGGGCTGCCGGGCACAGCACCCCCTCAGCACCCCCTCCCTGCCCCGGTGGCTCCTTCACCCCCGCTGTCCTGCCGGGTGTCTCTGTGCGAGTTTACAGATTAAAGCTGGGTATTTTGGAGGCTTTGCATCCGCCTGTATTTTTTTTTCTCTGCCTGAGAAATCCCTGCCCCGGGCCTGCGACGTGGGAGGCTGCTGCGGCCGGGCTGCAGGGGAGCGGGACGGGGACCCCCGGGACCCCCGCGGTGCCTCGGGGTGGGAGAAGCCCCCGCTGCCCCCTGCTCCTCGCCAGGGCTCAGCCCGCAGGTTTCAGCCAGTCCAAAGGTGAGAGGGGAGGGCTGAGCACGGCCGGTTAAATTAAAACCAACCTCCTCCCCTGCTGCTCCGGCGGTGCGGAGTTCAGCATTCCCCAAATAACTCCGGCTTCCCACCAATGGCATCCGCCTCTTGGCTGAGGTCGGCAAAAAAAAAAAAAAAAAAAAAATATGCTGGAGAGCTGCAGCACAAGCAGACGTCGGCTCTTTTCTGTTCCCCACCCTCCGGCACGAGCTGTGCCAGCGTCCCGGGGCTGCTGGAGCAGTGTCCCCAGCGGTGTCCCCAGCACCCTGAGGGACCCGAGCGCGGTGCCGGCTGTTTCCTCTCCTCCTTATCGGGGCTCCAGGCTCGCAGCAGCCCTGCCAGGGCCGGGTTTTGTTTCCTGAATTCGAGGAGCCTTCCCCGAAAAGCTCACCCGCTGCTCCCCGCCTCGGATGAGGAGATCCATGGGGGGGGTTTTGGTGCTCGCAGCCCCTGCGCTGCGGGGCCGTGCCGAGGCCGGCCGGGCACACGGGGCGCTTGGCCTGGTTTTCTCCCTCTGGTTTCCTCCTCTGCCGTGGGATTCCTCCCGGCTGCCGTTCTCAGGGCCGAGCGGCAGCGGGGTGATGCTCAGCGGGGTGAGGAGACGGGTGGCCCCCCCTGCTCCCCATCCCTCCTGGTGTTGTTGCCTTCCCCCGGCGCTTCCCAGCCCTGTGCAGCCCCACGGGGCCGGAGCAGAGCCGCCCGTCCTCCCCAGCTGGCTGGGGCACAATTAACTCTGCTTAATTAAGCGGCCCCGAGGACCTTTGGCCGGGATGAACTCCAGCTGAGGCCGCGGAGCCCGGCTGTGAGACCTGCCCCCGCAGCCCAGGCTGACCCCAAAACCAGCGCTCCCCACTTCCACAGCCCCCTGCGGCCACTTCTGCTTTCCAGGAGGGCGCGGAGCAGGGCAGGGCCGTGGCACAGCCAAGCCCCGGGGGTTGCCCAGCCGGGGAGAGCCCCGTGCCCGCGGAGCCGGGTGCTGAGCAGGGGCTGGGGACGGTTTGGGGGCTGCGCTCCCATTCCCACCACCCAGCGGGTCACCAGCGTGCACGGCCTCCCCTGCAGCTTTTCCCCTTTCCCGTGCCGGGCAGCTTCTCCCTGCTCCTTTCACTTCTGCGCACCCCACGCACCCTGCAACAGGCAGTGGGGTGACCCCACTAGGGGCTGGGGGTGACCCCACAGGGGAGCGGAGCTGCAGAGGGGTTTAGGGGTGATCCCATAGGGGAGTTGGGGCGGCCCCATAGGGGAGCAGGGCTGCAGCAGGGGGAGGGGGTCACCCCACGGGGGGCCAGGGGTGACCCCATGGGGGGAATGGGGCTGCAGTGGGGAGCTGGGGTGTCCCCAGGGGACACTGGGGGTGGCCCCATGGGGCAAATGGTTGGCAGAGGGGGTTGGAGGGAACCCCATGGGGGAGCAGGGGGGACCCTATGGGGGACTGAGGCTGCAGCAGGGGGAAGGGGTGACCCCACGGGGAACCGGGGGCGCCTGCACGGGGGAATGGGGTTAAACAGGGGGGTCGGGGGCGACCCCATGGGGGTCAGGGGGCGACCCCACAGGGCAGTGGGGCTGCAGAGGGGGTCAGGGGCAACCCCATGGGGGTCAGGGGATGACCCCATGGGGCAGCGGGGCTGCAGTGGGGAACTGGGGCGACCCCACAGGGACCTGGGGGCACCCCCACGGGGGTCAGGGGGCGACCCCACAGGGCCCCGGGACGCCCCCCCCAACCCCCGCGCCCTCGGGGCCGGGGCGCGCCACGGGGGCGGGGCCTCATTTCCATAGCCCCGCCCACCCGTGCTCTATTTACATAATCCCGCCCCTTTTTTCCTAATCGGGCGGAGGCCACGCCCCCCTCTCCCTCCGATTGGCCGCCTCCCGCCGGCGGCCCCGCCCCTGGCTATAAAAGCCGTCGGCGGGGCGCGGGGCGGCGCAGAGCGGGCGCGGTGCAGGCGGCGCCATGAGCAGCGCCCCGACGGGGCCCGCGGCGGCGGCGGCGGCTCCGCGGCTGTGCTGCCTGGAGAAGGGCCCGGACGGTTACGGCTTCCACCTGCACGGCGAGAAGGGCAAGCCGGGCCAGTTCATCCGCCTGGTGGAAGCCGGCTCGCCGGCCGAGCGCTCCGGGCTGCTGGCCGGGGACCGCCTGCTGGAGGTGGACGGGGCGAACGTGGAGCGGGAGAGCCACCAGCAGGTGGTGGAGCGGATCCGGGCGGCCGCCGGCTCCGTGCGGCTCCTGGTCGTGCAGCCGCAGCAGCCCGAGGAGCCCCCGCACAAGCCCCCGAGCCCCCCCGACGGCGGCGAGGCTCAGCGGGACCCCCCGACGGCGGAGCCCGCGCTGCAGGAGAGGAGCAGCGGCGGCAGCGAGCGGGTAATTTGGGGGGCAGGGGGTGGAAGGGGGGGGGCAGGCGGCGTTTTACACCCCTAGAGAAATTTTCTTATCTCCCCCCGGGCAGGGGGAGCCCCGGACCGGCGGGGAGCGCTGCCGCCCGGCCGGCCTCGGTGCCGGCTTTGTCCTTTGTTTGCTGGTTTGCAACGCGCTTACACCGCGGTTTGTGCTCGCTGCTGGTCGATTTTGGGGTCCTGAGGGTGTTTTGCGGGTGTTTAGGGTTCACCCGGCTCTGCACCCCCAGCAGGAGCAGCCCCAGCGTGGGCTCCCTGCCCGCCCCCATCCCTGTGCTGCGGGATGAGCAAAACGGGGTCAAACCCCCCCGGGAAGCTGCGGGGGCGTGAGGCTGAGGACCACGAGTGGGCACAGCGGCACCTGGGGAGCTGCTGGCCCCATCCCGCCGCCCTCTGACCCCTGTGGGGCTGCGGTTTGGAAGCAGGGTTGCGCTTTGCTGCTGCCCACGGTGTTTGCACGGGGGCTGAGCAGCTCTGCTCCCCCCCCCAGCCAGCAGCATCCGGCCCCGCTGTGTATTTTTGCCTTCAAAGCACCGGGGAGCCCCAGCCCGGGCTGCTGTGAGTTTTTTTTAGTGTTGAGCAGCTCCAAAACGCAGCAAAAAGCCTCGGTCGAGCAAAGATTTGGGGCTGTGGCTCCAGGAGCTGGCAGCAGCCACTCGTGCCCTGAGCGTGCCGGGTCTCTGTGCACAGCAGGGATGGGGGAGCCTGGAGCGGGGTCTGTGGGTCCCGGGGGACGGACAACAGGTCAGGAATGTCGGCCCTAACAGCGCGTAGGAGTCAGCGGTTGCACAAACAAAGCGATGTAGAGGTGAGGAATTGAGAAATTTCTGACCTTTCCTGCCCGCAGCGGTTTCTAAGAGACGCTCGGGGCTGCCGAAGATAATACAGCTTCTTGTTTACCCGCTGAAAACGGGTGTTTGTTGTCCCAACACAGACGGGGATGGGCTTCCCGGGAAGCAGGCAGGGCCAGCGCGGTGTCCCCAGGCTGGGGACAATCCTGGGGACTGACGCAGGTGCCTGACCTCCCCAATACCCCCGGTGCCAGCACGGCGCTTTGCTGCGGCTCTGGGACGGGCACCAACGCAGGGTTGGTCCCGGATGGACTTTGGTGCCTGGCAGAGCCGTCATCCTGTGGGGTTTTGCTGAGGATCAGGTGTTTTTACTCATCGTGTCCCCGTTGGACTTTAGCTCGGTGCCAGCTGTGTGTTCCCCCGGCCCTGCTGGCACACGGTGGGACACCCGCCTGGTCCCTGCCTGGCTAAAGCACCCCTCCGGCACCCCCTTGGGGGTCTGGTGGCCGTGGGGGTACAAATCTCTCCCGTCTGGGGGAGCGGGGCAGGATGCTCTGGGTAGGAACACGCGGCCTCTGCGCCTGCAGCATCCTCCTGGCCAGGCTGTGCTCCCTCCCCGTGCAGGGGGCACGTGCCCGCCTCCCATATGTCGCGGTGCCAGCGCTCCCCCCGGGCTAGTGAGACCTTCTGTGCGTGCCTTCAGCCCAGACATCCCTCCACGAGCTGGAAAAAAATAAAAGGGCCTTATCTAACGCGGCTTGGGTGAGCTCCCTGCCCTGCTTGTGGGGCTGAGGGCGCTTCGAGGACGTGCAGCTCCCCACGGATATGAGACCCCAGCACCATCGGCCAGAGAAGCAGGTTGGCTACGTGATCCTGGAGGTGCCCGAAGGCTTGGGGTCAACCCAGGGTACCCAAAGGCTTGGGGTGAGCTGGGGGTGCACCGTTAGCACCGGCAGTTTCTCTCTGCACGAGAGCAGGAAGTCGGTGGCGCTGGTGACAGCGGCTGACACTGCTGCTCGCCCGCCCGCAGCCCCAGACGGTTTCTCAACAGGTAGCAGGAAAAACCCTGTGGCTGGGGGGAGGGCAGGGCCTGGCCCCAAGCTGGGGAAAAAAACAAAGCTTTGGAGACGTCGCCTCGGTTGGGCGCTCGCCGTGCTGGGAAGCTGCCCCGTGGGACGCCGGGCACGCCGTGTGCCTGTCCCGCGGCCCCCGAGCCCTGCCCTTCCCCGCGGCGGCCGTGGGGATTCTCCCAGCGCCGGTCCTGGCGGGGAGCGGGAGGTTTGCATGTGTCAGAGTCCTGTTTGCTTTGTTGGGCTGGACTTGCCTTTATTTGCTTAGCAAGCCCGGAGACGCTCGCTGCCAGGAGAGCTGGCTGTCAGGCTTCCTGCACGGCACCCCCCGAGGATTTAAACCCTCCCGTGTCGGGGCAGGATCTGTCCCCGCTTGCCCTCCGCGACCCCACAGCTCTCCCCATAGCAGGGGCCACCCCCACAGCTCCCTGCCCTGCAGCTGGGTGCAGGCTGAAGGCAGCTGCACCCCTACAAAAGGGATCCAGGGGCACCCACGCCGTGCCGAGGGCGGTTTTGCATGGCCGGTGCCGGTGCC